AACTAACTATAAAACACTCATACTTGAGATGAAACATGGAAGTTGTCAATTTGTTCAAATAAGCTACTGTTTGTACTACTGATAGAATACCGTCCTGTTTTCATTCATCAGGCAGAACAGAAAATACAAGCACATTATTTAATAGGAATGCTGCAACCGGCCTCTCAAGTCTCATTTAAAGGGGCACTACAGGAATCTTAACCTGCTACATTATGCTAGAAATGAGGGGCCAATACATAAAGTCATATTTCCTATACAGTATACTGTCACCATATTATTGTGAACCCCCAAAAGGACAAAAGTGATGCCCTAAACTAATGCTGCAAAACCAATCTCCTGGATGACAGATGAAAAACCTCACAAATGTCAAACCCTTGTGTCCTCCGCTTATGTATGCATTTTCATCTTTTCTTTTTCGCAAACTCTTTACAAGCAGTCTTTGATCAACTTGTAATAGATGCATGCTGTGACCAACCAATTATATTGATGGGTCTCAAAAGCTTAGATGAAGTGAAAGCTCTGGAATACAGTGTAGCCACTTCTGAATACTCAGCTTAAAATGCCATGTGCAGTGTGGGCAAGAGCCCTAGAGATGCATCATTTCCTTTCCAGGAAGATCCAGAGAATGTATTGTATATACACAACCATCTGTATAGATACAGCTCATAATCAAGGAAATGGTTTAAACTACTGTTTAAAACAATACACCCCCCACCACCCCCCCCCCACACACACACACACACAAACCCAAAGTGATAATAGAGGCAGCCTGGGCTCATCTTTTTAGCAGAAATCTGGGGAAATGCTCTGACAGTCTTCATACATTTTCATGTTTTTTTTCCTCTGTCCACTGGGTAACGCAGTGCAGATGAAGGCATTCATCATAACAGCCTAAATAAAACTCCCCCAAGCTTATTGTGATGGTTTGAGTGGTGGGCCTATAATATGACAAACTAACCACTCAATCATGCTTTCATTCGGAATCCAATTCTTTCAGTTTCTCTCTCAACTTTTCTAACTTTTAAATTACTTTTCGTGAGAAAACCATATATCCCCTCTGCCTGCAGGAAAAAAAGAGACGAGTTATACACAACCAACACTCAGAGGCCTGCAGTTAGCAAGCAGCTGTAGTGGGTCATAACTTCAACAACCTTTTATGACCTTGGTCTGGTTTCCCTTTTAAGGAAGGCATCTTTCATTCTAAGCACATGTTTATGTTTAGAATAACTTGCTCTGTTGTCTTTGCTGCAGGACACAGCTCCACTTCTCCCCCGAGCTCAGGCTATAAAGTCACAGACAGACCACAAGGAAAAAATAAATTCAGTTAGAATATGCTCCCCTCTCTGTGCTACGCTGTATATCCTCTTTCACTTGTGCTCATTCTTAAGAGCCTTCTTTGCAGAATGAAACAGTCTTGCTTTCATCCAACTTGAAAGGATAATCCAGGGTTTTCACAACCTAATACTTCAAAAACACTGGCCTGCCCCAAGTCCTTCCGATGGTGTGCTCGGTGAGAGATGACAAAATGAGATGTGATATGTTTGCTCTCCACAGACCAAACAAACAAGCAATAAGCCAACTAGAGATGGACAAAATGGCCTGAAATAAAAGACAGGACCAAAACTGAATGGTGCTTTGTGAAAAGCGTCTTGAATACAAATTCAGGCCACTCTACAAAGAAGCAACACGGTTTTCACCTCACAACAGATGGATATGGAAACTTTGATGTTACAGATTCTCTATAAAATGCAAAATTCATGACTGGAAAACAATAGCATCCTCCTTGATCAGTGTTTCAGCTATCTTGACTGCTTTGAGGAGACAGATGTTCCACAGCAGTTTATGTCTGAAGCTACAGATTATAGCCAGTTAGCTTTGGTGGCTATACAGGCAGGAAATTAGGAAAAAGGTTAATTAACAACCTAAATAATCTTGACATGGGATTATTACAAGGGGGGACATCATGTCATTTAGAAATTACCCTCTAACTGTGAAACATGTCAGTTATTACCAAACAATGTAATATCTGACATCTCTGGTTGCTATTTGCATAACCATCAATAGGCTGCACATAATGACTGCTGAGCCTGTTGAAACGCATGCTACCATGCACTGAGCTCTCTCTGTAAATTGGTCTCTAGGTTATGTAGCAATATATATCCTCTTGAAACTGCACTGTATAACTTTTAATTTTTAATAGACAGCATACAACTTATTCATCGTGCAGCAAAGAGGCAGAAAAAAGTGTGCTTTAAAAAAAGCTGAAATCACAGGGGACTAACGGTAACACAGGAAGTCTTCTTTTTCAGCTGCTCCCTTCAGGCGTTGCCTCAGCGGATCATCATTTTTGAATATTCTCAGCAGTCTTTCTCTTTGCATCTCCCAACAACATAGGACTTCTCTGGTTGGAAACCTATAGTAGAATTTTTACTTTACAAATTAGAGGCATGGCAGGTTCTCACAGAATTAGGATGATAGATGACCTCCGCAATCATACTAGAGGTCCGCCAATCCTATTTAAGGTGTAAAGACTGATTCTGTCAAGATTCGGCTGTGTGCAGGCTGGATGAGGACCCAATCGCAAACTCACAGAGGCAGGAATGAACTCAAAATTCAGAGCTTTATTGCTGGAGAGCAGAACCATACAAATTAAACCGGGAAACTATAACGTAACACACAGAGAAACGCACGGCCATGGATGAAGGGAGAACGCGACACCGAACTGAGGGAGACGCAGACATAAATACACAGAGGGTTAACGAGGGAAGTGGGAACACACGGGGAACACAGGTGACACTGATAATCATAACAAGACACGGCAGGAGTGAACGCAACACTGACGGGAGACTGTCAAAGTAAAACAGGAAGTACACAGAGGTTCAGACAGGAGGAGAGAGAGCACGGGGAGAACACAGACATAACGGGCTGGGGAAAACATGGAATAAAACACAAGGAGAGACGAGGGCTCACAGATACACAGAGGGGCACACAGGGGGTAAGAGTCACAAGGGGAAAACACATAAGGAACAACGTAACAGAGCAACCCAGGAAGCATGGCCTAAATAAGGAACAAAATACAAAAATACATGAAAACTAAGAATACTGGGCCAACATGGCCCAGGACCATGACAGATTCCAATATCAAGTCCATACTCTAACTATGAAGCTTCACAGCTAGTAGGCAAATAAGCACATTTTCCAACAGTGCCAAAATGTTCATTTGAACGAATTAACAAGAAATACATAAACACAAAGAAAATATCGTCAAGATAATTGCAGCTTCTTTCCCCATTAACCACCAATATTTAATCAAAGGACATAAGGGACATCTCCGTTTCTCTCCGCTTCACAGCCACGTGGGATATTTCTTGGCTGAGAGTGGAATTCCATGCTGCAGATAGTGTGAGGGTGATGAGGTACATCGGCTCACATATAAGGCATGTGTGCTATCTTTTCCCCTAGTGATTCCTCGCCACTGATAGGCGCCTCGATGCCGGCCTCATAAAATGCAGTGCAATGCACAGCTCTGCTCTGCAACAGCTGTGATAAGGATAAATATTTAATGTTTTCTAAGACTATGAGTTGCAAACGTGCCTTTTTTTGGCAAAGAGACTACGCGGGAGAGGGGAGGCAAGGAAAATCAAACAAAACTGAATGAAAATGGAAGGGAAAATGGCATCGATAAAAGCAAAAGTTAAGGGCAACACTGTTATATAAAGTTCCTCCACACCGAACATGTGACTTACATTTTCCCTTAAATGCAAAAATAGAAATGAGTGCAGCACTTTTTATCTGATACCCCAGAGGCACATTTTTATCATGTTTTCATCTCATACAAAGGAACACTAAACACCCGAAACTCTAAACACACTGCTGGATATTCATCGACCTAATGTAAAATAAGAACATGTTACACTACTAAAACCATAATTCAGAAGTGTCTCTACCATCAGACTCTTTGGGGATAAGCACTTGGAGTGGATAATTGGAGCGATAAGTGTTGTACTTATTCGCTGATTAACTCCCACTGGGACCGTGAAAAGGCTAGCAGTCCGGCATGTTCTCAAGTGTGTCTATTTATGGTCAAGCTGACATCTAAATGAATTTAAAAGGATCTTCAGCAGGAAAGTGGACAACAATTAAGAGTGACAGACTTCATTTGTCATCTATATCAAGTCCGGTCACTACAGCAATCATAAATACACAATACGGACCTCCTGCTTTGAAATACAAGGAGCTAATTAACCTTTGTCACAACCTGTTACATTTGTGTAGTTTTATTATTTGATTTATTATTCTGTAGTTGGAATTCAATCTTGTATGATATCCCAGATTCTTAATTGTTGAGATTAGTGATTATTGGCTCTTTTAAGCAAGTTTTCATCATTGAGAGAAGACACTGAAAAATACCTGCACCACCAATCGAAGCTGTCTATGTAGTCTTTGTTTGATGAAACAGAAACAGACAACTCTGCAATCATTTGAAATTTGTTATTCATTGTTATTCGTGGTTCTTTGTATAATTCCGTTTGTTTTTCAGATTTGTTCCTTACTTTGTTTGTCTGCCTTGCACCCACATTATGCTGACAAATCATCTTGTGTTCGTTGCTAGCAGCTGCACCCAGCTCCTTTTGGCCTCTTTTCCCTAAATACTAAACGAGGATGTGTCATTTTGTCCAGCAAGAGTTGCGGTTTTTTGTTACTTGTCCTTGCCAGCACAGATGCCTTTTTAAAATAGTGTTACTGCTATTTTTAATGCTTCTTTGAAGCCTAAACACACCTGGAACCTTTCAGTAATGAATAATATATCTATCATAATGCCTACAGGATACTTTTTCTTCAGCTCCTTCAGTGAAAAGGGCAGCAAGGAAAATAAGTATAGAAGTTTTTTGAAATACTGATAATAAGTTTGGGTTATTTCGTTCACTAATAATGTTGGAAAGTCCAAAAACTACAAGATGAAGGCACGAGGAGATGAGGACATGCAATTTCTTACTAACCTCTGGCGTCAAAGAACTCCTCATCGGAGCTGTCGACTGATTCTTGTGCAATATTCTGCAGGCACCAATGAGTGGCGCTGTGTTTTCTTGACGAACCTGTGAATCAAAAAAAAAAAGGGTGAAAATTCTGCTTTTAGAGTCGGTCAACATAATGCAGTAAATGAAGAAAGACAAGGACAGACAACTCAAACATATTTGTATTTTTTCCTTTTCTTTACGTTGGTTGACACCTCTAAAGATTTGGAGAGAAAAACAAGTGTGAAAGCCCCAGGTGGGAGTGCTTGGCCTTTCAAGTGTCACAGCAGGTGAAAAGACCCAATTGGACTTTCCTTTGAGCACTGTCGCAGCCCACAAGTGTCTCAGCAAGACAGCCAGGCAGTGTTTTTCATGACCTTCTGATACAAGAACAGGAACAACAACAAAAAAATTTAAGCCTTTTTCCATTTGTTCACAATGTTTACTCTCAAGTATCCACACATAAAACCACGGCAAACAGCCAAGAACAGCAAAATGATTTCTTAAAATTCACTGAAGTAGCAGTAGTCTGAAACACAGTGGGTCAAAACTGAGAAAACACAATGTCAACTCCACTGAATGCGCTGGATCTCAAGTGAAGTTCAAAAGGCCTGTACCAAAGTTCAGATGATGTTTATTTATTTATTTATTTATTTATTTATTTTTAAATTTTATTTCTGCATTTAAATTAAACATAACATGCTTATACAAATCAACCGAGAACAATTACTGTCTTTAACATTTGTGAACTTATAAAAGAAAAAAAAAAAAAAAAAAAAAAAAAAAAATAAGAGGAAAAAAACAACAACCAAATAAATAAATAAATAAATAAATAAAATAAAATAAAAAATAAAAAAATTATAACAATATTAAGATGATGTTTATTTACTGTTTTTTTCCTTGGGACAGCAATGTGATAAAGCTCAAAGAAAGATTCCTCTGACCTCTGCTGCATTGTGATGATGTACTGGTAATGAACCACATTTCCTTCTTGACTCCTCCTGGTTTAATCTTAAAGCAACATTTTTGCATCTCCTTCAATGTGTAAGAATTCACTGGGAAGTATAACTTTTAGAATAGAACAGAATAGAATAGAATTTTATTAATCCCTTGGGGAGGTCCCTTCAGGGAAATTATGAATTATTTATGAATTATTGTGAATTATGTCCTTCATTGCAAACCTACACGTGTAAGTTTACACTACAAATTTGTAATTGTTTAAAGCGATGTGTAAAAATACAGCTTATAAGGCAACAGGAAGAGTTTGCACAATATTAATTGAAAGTCAATATTCTGTATGACCACCTTTACTCTTCAACACACTCTGAACTCTCTCTAGCAAGCTTTCCTGTAATTTCTTTAAGTAGTCCTTAGGAGCAGTTCTCGAGGACATTCAACGCTCTTCTTGCCTGCCTTTTGCTCCATTCTCTCTCAAGATAGTCTCACACTGCTTCAATAATATTGTGGTTAGTGCTCTAGGAGGGCCAGTCCATGACTGTCAGTGCTCCACTCTGTGTTTTTCCCCATAGAGGCTTTTACCTCATTAGCACTGCGTTTACCATCATTGACCCGTGGAAAAATAAAGCCATTGATAATCAAATGCTTTCCAAATGGTATTGCATCGTGGATCAAAATTTTACTTTATTTTCTGCGTTCATAATTTCATCAATCTTCGCATCATCCCCAACACCACTGTCAGAAATGCAGCACCAAACCATGACAGGGCCTCCACCGTGTTTTACAGGTGGCTGTGAACACTCACTGTTGTACCTCTCTCTTGATTTCCTTCATAAATATTGATGATTGTTTGAATCAGATATTCCAGAATTGGACTCATCTAGGGCTGCCACGATTTGTCGACTAGTCACGATTACGTCGACTATCAAAATCGTCGACGACTGATTTAATAGTCGACGTGTCGTTTGAAGCTTTGTAAGATCGCAAAAGACGCAGGAATAATAGCAGGATTTAAGAGTGTAATAACGGACTGAAACAGAAGATGGCAGCACTGCATGTACAAGGATGCCAGCTGCCGTTAAACCCCGAAGAAGAAGAAGCAGCTGTGTCCCAGAATTCATAGCGCGGCCCAGCTTAGTTTCCAACAATGGCGGTAGCTAGTTAGTTTTAATATTACTCTTATTATTCTTTCTGGGTCACAAAATAAACGTTTAACATATTTTCAGGCGAGAATGTAGCTGTGTAAACCTCAAATATCGGCTCAGTTTATCAGGACACCACATATTTTCAAAAGCGCTCCGACGTTTTCGGAGACGTCTGTTACCCACTAGCTCGATAGCTAGCCGGGGGCTAGGTCACTAGCGCCGTGAGAACACCGGACTCCCGGCAAATTGTTTTCAAACCCACCGCCGTCTTTCGCGACTCAGGTTAAATATATATGAGTCACTTAGATAACTTAAAAGTGTTGTTGTTTGGCTTTTTTTTTTTTTTTTTTAGTATTTTATTTGTTCCTGGGTAAATCAGTTTGGCTGAGATTAAAGTTATAGTTTTTACACAGCTGAATAACCGTCAAGCAGACAGCTGATTATCAGAAGTGTGAGATGCTGGAGAATATACTCCGGTGTCCTGTTATATTTTAGATAGCAAGGAGTTTATTAAACTTTACCAAAACAATCTGCAAATTTCATTAAAATTGAATAAACTATCATCTTGTCTTTATTTTTAGTTAGCACCTTAAAAGCTTAAAGCTGTAAGCTAATGATAGTTATATAAGAGCAGATGCTGCTGGTGCAATAAGCTGTAGTTTTACGTCCAGTGGATGATGATCTGATTAGTCGACTAATCGCATAAATAATCGGTGACTAGTCGACTATCAAAATAATCGTTTGTGGCAGCCCTAAACTCATCACTATATTGCCATTGATTTTTGCTCCAGTTTTTGTGTAATTTGGCATACCTTAGCTTTTTCTCCCTGTTTCTCTTACTTAAGAACGGTTTCTTCACAGTGACTCTTTCACTGAGACCATTTCTATTGAGGCTTCAGTGAAGAGTCAACTACAGATTGAGATTGCAAGATTGCATGTCTCAGATTGTGTGTCAGGTCGTTGCTGGATTTTCAGTTTTATCTTTCTTTTTTTTTGCATGACTTTGTGCATGACTTTCAGATACTGTTACTCAGCTGTTTTTTTAAAAGCCTACCACTTCTTCTATCCTCCACTTGTCCAAGTTCTTCAAATTCTTTAAGGACACACTGGCACAGCATGCTGAGATATGCCAGGTTTTCAGGTGTTAGCTAGTGCAAAAATACTATTTATGTCTGTTAAATGATGCTATCTTTGGCAGTTTTCATAGATTCAGCTAACAAAATCAGAACAAATGATATGTTTTAAGATGGGACCTAGTAACAGTGCTTAAAGGTAACTAAAACTGATTCTTTGTCAAGCTGTCTGTTATGTGTAGACAGAACATTTATGTTTGAATGATTCACAAATCAAGGTTAAGTGGCTTAACAAACAAAAAATATTTTATCTAAAAAATGGTTAGGTATCTACACTTGACTGAAAACAAGTGAAAACAAATTAATTAATTTAAAAAAAACAAAAAACAGCCAACCAGCCAGCCTTTAGAAAGCCTAGAGAGCTATTGCTTAAGAACACTTTAGGTCTTGCACCTTGAAAGCAAAAAGACTTGTTGCACAGCAGCATATGTAATGAAAATTGCTAAATTATACCACCAATCATAGAAATCATGCAAATCCTAAATATTTAGCAAAGACAGAAAGACTGAATCTGACTACATTTCCATACAACAAGTTCTGCCAATTCAATTGTGCACTGAGGATATTTAATGATATCGATCTACTGTAATGTATCAATCTACTTGCCTGGAACAGGCAAAGAGCAGAGGCATGCTGGCACAGGTGCATGTCTGCTCACACAATAGGTGACGAGAGAGTTTATTTACAATTTATAGCCGATACCAGGGAGGAAGAACCAAATAGTACAATAAAAATGATCTAATCTACTGTAATTCATAGATGTAATGACTAAACATAAGTTTACAGATACCTACTGAAAAGCTAAAATTGTACTAAGTTATAGCATTTGACTGTTCCAGCTCTTTCCATATGTGTAAATCTGCAGAATGCAATGCAATGCTAACACAGCATTAGCGAACTTAATAGTTGTAACATTTGTATATATTAAAAACCTCAGAGGTGTATATTGGCTCAGTCACACTAGGGTAAAAAACAGGAAGGCATCATTTGCCCAATGATTGCATGGAAGTTTTTGGCATTCAGCAACCAATTTCAAGTAGTTGTGCAAGATTGCAAGGCAGCTGAACAGGCCCTCTGATGGAATCTGTCTCCAAAACATTGCAGTCTGTATCTGATTGACTGCAATCACTCTCAGAGCGATTGGTGAAGGTTTGCAAACAACCACCATCTATTATAAATGCAAACAAGCAACCAAGCTGGTTGCCAGCTGGTTGTAACCTAGTTATATTCCAGCAAACACCTATTTAGCCATTTAGCTTTTAAATTATCATCCTCCAGCTACTACATCACTGAGTAATTTCTGAATTTCTGTTTCAAATCTATGAGGTTCAGGTTCAACAAAAGATTTATAACAGACAGCAACAGAATTGCAATTTTCACTAATTAATCACAGATTTTCAATATTAATCACAGTTAATTGCTCCATTATCACAAATTTATTTACCAGCTTGACCCCAATTGCAAAGTAACAGCAGACTGATAGTAGACTGACTTCATCTTGATGCCATTTAATTGTTGTTTTGACGTAGCAAAAATGAAGACGGCTCCTGAATGTGAGCAGTCACAGGATCTTTCAAGCAATGATTTCAAAGGCAACAAGACTGCAATTTATTGCACCATTGCAATCGTTTTGATTATGCGTTGGTCTCAAACCACTGTTTTGCATAGTGTGCATAGTATAAGCCTGGCTAGGAAGAACTTATGATTTCTTGTTGTAATATGAAGCCACACAGGCTCGGATCGTATAGCTTCATATTACGTCACATCTAGGCTGGATCTTTACTCACACTGGACTGCTGTGAGGTAGCTCCATGATTATGGCATAAGGAATAACATGGATAGATGA